GATAATGAGGAGGTAGACAGAACCACCCTGCCTGCCCTGAGTAGTCAAACTAACTCGATCATGGGACGATATCCTGGTCTCCACAAGTTCAGGCCAACGTTGAGTTCGACCTAACAGACGCAGAGTGTGACCCATTCCTTGGGATGATGTAGTGAAAAAAGCTCATAGTCACTGCATCAAAGAGTGGAAATTGCTGTGCGAGTGAACTGAGACGATAGCAGGATCGTAAGCTCAGTTGTGAGATTGACGAGGGCAGTAGAGATGTTGCAGCGAATAGTTCTAGATTGCAGTGTGACAGTCTTCCAAAGATAGCAGGTCGCCCTGAACCAAGCCAATTGGCCACTTTGATATGCGGGAGATTAAATCGCTTGTCCCATCATTGACTATTGACTTTTAGCATCTTTCTACAATGCGTTCTAGATCTTGCTAGCGGATATATCTGCGCAGATATAACATGGTCGTACGATGTGAAAATGACTTTGCAGATCCAGTGTAATGCTTGTGTAGAAAATGTAGTACAAGGTCTGCTGGTAGAGTAGCGCGGGCTACCATAGGCGTAAGGCAAGATAGACCCAGGGGGGGATACAATTAATTGTGATAGATCCACAGAGGAAAAAAGCACGACTCCAAGACGCGGGTTATCACATCAGGATCATGTTAGAAAACGAAGAAATTCGGGAGAACCGTAGAAAAGGAGGTCAAGATGCATCAGGAAGTCTCGTAGAAAGCCATGTGTCCGTGATATCAAGATAACTTAATTCTGTTGCGTGTAGATTGAGTATTGCGTACTGAGTTGTCAGGTTCTCAATTTTGCGGCGTTGGCGATGGCTGGGTAAACATAAAGATGTGCATCAAACTCAACTTGCTCCTATGTGAATTCTCTCCGACCAACTCAACACAGGCATTAGGCCAAAATCATGAGACCTGCGTCGAAATTCATCTTCGCAGCCATAGTAAGCGGTTGAGAAGGACGAAAAGCCTGCTTTGGGCAGCCTACGCTTTGGAGGGAACGAGAGCGCGTAAGTTCATCAAACGCGAGAAACCAAGGCACACTGTACTCTAATACAATACAGCTGTACAAATCTTCGTCACGCTTAGTTCTGGGATCTTCTCGTACCCAACCGTGATCTCCACCAATCTGAGTTGTGTCGGAGCACGTCTCCCGTGCCCCCAGCCCCACGCTTTTATGCGCCCTTACGGCACTACGGGCACGACCCATAGTGGTTCAACTCAACAACCATTCTGCTAGCTGGCACTAGTCATCATAGTCAAATGGCATATACCCAGCATCGAAGGGGAAATATCATGCAACGCGCAGACGAGGTGAGTTTGGCAAGCTATGATTCTTGGGTAAGTGTATATGTAGCTCGAATGACGGTTGTGGTATGTACATGATTATGAGAGGGAGGGCTATATCGGCGGAAGCATTACCTAGAGGAGACTGTAAGACAGATAACCTCAGCAGTTTCAAAGGTGTGCATGGCAAACTCAAGGACAACCGAGAGTCCCCGAGGATAGTACCTCGACACAGGCCATTACCCTCATTCCAAGAATGGTCGACTGTAGGAGTGTTATCTACACCAACCTTCCGCTGGTGATGCGAGTTTGGCGCCGTCTAGTTATGCTGCAACAAGGGGTGCAAAAACGCCGTTATCTTCACTATCTTCTCTGCATCGCCCAAGGCTCTCGCGTTGGTATCTCTCATGGTTACCTTGATGCCTCGGATCTTTCCCATGTTCGGCACGACATTCTTCTCGTTGTATGCCTGCCTTGTCATGCTTAACGGCGTCGTCGATCGGTTCGCGGTCTTGGGAAGTTATTAAAGGATCGAGTGTGCGAAGACAATGGTCTTAATTGGCGTTCGACATAGTTCGAGTCTTGCGTCTGCATGCATCCACGATAATTCGGCGTCGGCAATTTGTAATCATATAAAAACCTAAGCATCGTTACGGCTTACACTACAATCCTCTCTCTTAGGACATTATGAGCGTAAGGGAAGTGCTGTGAGGGAAACTTGCGAACTGATAACGGCTAAGATGTCCAAATCTAATAGAAAGAACCATTCATTCTGGAAGGACACACAGATATGGCTGTCACTATGGGGGAAGTTGTGCGGTTGACGGAAACCGGGTTCCTTGCGGCAATGGATCTTGGGACACGAGATGCGCCTCTGGGATAGCTGAGAAGTCAGGGACTAGGCGATGTGGTAACCTTGCAGAAATCATGCATACCGATGAGCGCAGACCTGGTTTGACTCGCCCATGTCGGCGTTTCAACGCGGCGAATAAGGTAGCATTATAACGCGACGACCAAACCGAGGAAAGGCATCTTGACATCTATCAGCTTCGACTCGATCGAACCATGCGCGACATGCATAAGGTTCGCACTTTTTTCCCACAACAGACGAACGTGCGCAGGCACAGGAAATCAACATATCACATTGCGGTTCGCCTCATCTCATCTCCCCATCGTCGCGTCCTACTGCCCATGTCTTTCCCGGCAACCCACGACAATATACCACACATGGAATTATGAGCTGCCACGCGTTGGTTGATTGCAACAAGCATGGCCAGCGAGCTTTTTATAGCTTCTCAATGCAGGTTGAGATGCTAATCGTGGAAACCAGAACGCTCTCTACCATCACGCCCGTCAGCTTTTTAAGGTCGTGATACAAATATCTGAGCCTGCTTCTCTCGTCTAGAACTCATCGCTCTGTAGTAAGTCCACTGTACGTGCCTGTAAGATGCGAACATATCTCTAGGCCCGTATTATCCAGCGCGACTCTACTCTCACCGCCCACAACTGCCTATATACCCGTGCTGCTGAGAGTGCCGAAGAGACTTAGCAAACCCAAGGAATTGACTTACGCGTCGAACACATCAAAGAATATCACTACCGTCCCACGCAAGGTTGATAGCAGGATGCCTCGCAAGGGCGAGTCGGCCCATAAATCGCGTACCATCATGGTATCACCCGCCGCAAGGTGCGGTACATAGAGCTCCGCGCCAACACGCCAAAGTGGAAGCTCAGTCAAGACATTCTATAACGCGCGGAAGGAAAACAAAGGCAACATAACCACTCTTACCTAGTATTTGACCTGTGCCGCCCAAGACGTTTGTAATTGACAACAAGATAGAATATGTAGAAGATAGCTAGTTAGAGGATAAGCAAGCTTACGGTATTTGCTATTTTTACAACGCTATCTTGAGTTCTGTTACGTATACGGCTGGAGCAGTAACCTTATAATATAAGCAGAGAGTTACTGTACACGTTAGAGAATAGGATACAAAGAATTCTAAACTAGAATAGTTATAGTATATTATTTAACCTTTTTAAGGTTCTAGGTTAGATTAATATATTATAGTTAGACTAATAATACTTGCTTATTAACGTAGCTAGAAATCTAGAAATTATTTAAGATTACAGCCCTTTAGTAGTAGAAGAAGCTAACCTTTTCCTTATAACTATAGTTCTTAGATAGTATAAATCTAAGCTGTGATATAAGATAAAATTTTATATATTATATAGTATAAGTTTGGAGTAATTATAAACTAACGAAAACCTAACAAATTGGAAATACTAGAATTACTTAAAAGAGTATTTAGAAAGAATAGTCTCCTTCTGTAATATTTTATATACCTCCTATACAGTAAAAGAAAGCTTATAGATATAAGTTGCCCTAAGACGCAGCAAAAGTTGCGTGATCGTGAGGTAAAGATTAAGAAACACCTGTGCTGTGGGACGAAGCTGGCCCTAAGCCCAACTCGGGTTAACTGTCATGAGCTGTCATGAGCTGTTGTGAGCTGTCGTGAGCTGTGTTATGAGCCGTTATGAGCCGTCATGAGCCGGCTGTCATGAGCTGTGGAATATTAACCCCACCAAATGTCAAAGTGCTTACAAAGGATCTACAAGCCTTACTCTTTATCGCAATCTTCCGCGCAGAACACGCTCAACGAAGTGCCACCCTCAGCCGTAGCAGGTATAACCAGCCTTCGTTCCATACTGGCGATTTGCTCGCTCCGCCCGCTTCTAGCTGGTACGAAACGACACTAACGGGGATGAAGCGGGTGGTGGGAACGAGCAATAGGAGGTTCGCTGCTGATAGTAATACTAGAAGGAATAACAAGGGCTGTGTCGAATTGAGGAGGCGAACGCATGCATCGTACTTGGGGCTCGAGGCTCAGTGAAGGGACAGATGAGAGAGAGCATCGGCGTCGCGGACCCTGGTCGATATATGGGAGTGGGCTCTTGTGTCGTGTCAGCGCAGAGAGGGCTTCGGCGATGTGGAAGAGCTATCGGAGGCAGAAGCTAAAGACTGCGAACATCACGCACACCAAGAGCATAAGAATAGTTCTAGACACAAACGAAATATATACAGTAAGTCATCACCCCTTCCGTCGTCTCCCCAAGCTATCGGTTCAAGCCTTGTTATCATGGAAATTGCCCCCAATACCGAGACAGGCTCTGGCACATACAGGTCGGCAAGTTCGTGAGTACCTTCCCAGCCCCGTTCCCGAGAGACTCCAAGCATCGTCGACATGATTCAAGCCGAGGACGTCGTCAAGCTGTGGCCACGGCCTAGGTTCCTGCGGTCCGCCCATGGTGAGGACTTCGTGATCGACTACTCTTGGACGCTGTCGACCGGGTCCAAGACAAGTGTTTGGTCGGACTTTCTGTTGGAGGAACAGCGTTCGAATCGAGTTTTTGAAAGCCATGCATCGGGTTTACACGGGGCAGCAACCGGGATAAACAGGTGGAAGGCTCAAGTAAGTTTCGCGCTGAAGATCGAGGATGCGTGCTGGATGATGCAGCATTCAGCGGGGTTGTGGTGATCCAATTCCATGGACATGATCGTCTCAGCTGTGCGCTGTCACCAATCATGTCAACTCCGAAGCGATTGCCAAGACGCTGCAGACGATTATTGTCGACGTCCAGTCTGCATCCTCTCCCCCTTGTGTCACTCTTCCTCGAGGTGTCGAGCTTTGAGATGATGGCGTGGATCAGCCGTCTTCCTCAACCTGCTTAGACGTGTGTTTCTCTTTGACATGAACAAAGACATCCTTCCAATACTGTATAGCGTCCTGTGCCGTCGCCGTCGGGCCCCACGTCCAGGGCTTGGGGTCCGGGGTCTCGTCGTGATGTTTGGCTCGTTTCACCGGGGTGGAGTTTGGTGTTTCCATCTGCTGCGATTGGTCGCTGCGCCGGCGTTTGCGCGTCGTTGGGCGGGACGTGTGAAGCACTTCTCGATCGGGGGTGTGGGCGGCAGGCGTGGCGCGGAAGTGAGATGAGTCTGGTGCAGCGCTGTGGAACGACCGGCGTTGCTGTGGCTGGGGATGAGGAAGCGCGGGCGGCGGGGTCGAGAGATGTGCGGTTGGTGGCGTGACGGATGGCGTCAAAGCGGGTTCTTGCTCGTCGAGTCTGCCCTCGACGCTCTCTACGCTCATCAAAGCGCCAGGCTCAAGCATCCAGAGCTTTGTCAGTGTGTCAATGTCGTCCCACACCTGCCGAGGAATGCGCAGCGGGCCTGCACCCCTCCAACTCAACAGCCGCGACGCGCTCTGAACCATGGCGCTCGGGCTGCCGTGCCACTCGCGGGGTGGCCAGATCATCTCTCCAGGTTCATGTCTTGGCTGGCCGGGAGGAGCGGGAGCAAAGTCGACGATGGGGTAGCAGCTGTATAGGCCGTATTGTAGGTCGGGCTGGTCTGTTCGGCACAGGTCGGCGTACTCGGCTGCGGACATGGGCACCCGGGGTCGATGGTGGGCGAGCTGTCTCTTCTCCACCTCGATCAGCAGATCAGTGCGCGTGGGTATGATGAGGAGGCCCGGCGACGCCGTGTCGAAGTTAGCGTGGCAGGAACCGCAGAGAGGCACCGCGTTGTCGGCGTCGTCGATGGAACCGAGGCCGATGATGTTGCGATCGCGCAGTCTTTCGAACACCTGCGACGCTGTCAGCACACACATGCCATACCGTCATTCCTGGACAAACACACCGTCGTGCTTGTGCGCGGAATTACATGGGCGACTTCAACGGGCGTGCCGGTGCAATGCAGGCAGCGACCACGGTACATGTCTTGCACCCGCAGCTTGACCGACTGCAGGAAATAGCCCGACCCAGAAGACAGCCGTGTGCGCTTGGAGCTTTGTGATGCCTCGTCGCTATCCGCCCCGCGCTTTCGTCCCCGAGATGAACGTGAAGGCGTCGACGAGGGCGGCGGGGGTGGCGCCATGGCCGGGGGGGCGTCGTCTGCCGGAGAAAACAACGACATGTCTGCCTGGATTGTGTTCGGCAAAGGCCTTGCGTGCCGGATACAAGGACGGCATGGAAAGCTAGTAAGCAACGGATGGAGATGGGACGGTCGGCAAAGGCCGTGTCGAGGTTCAGCAATGCGACGCGCGAAACGCCAAGTTGGCTGACTCAAGCCCTGACTGGTCTGTGCCCCATGACGTCGTGACCGTACCCCAACTCCATCAGCGTTGCCCTCCACCAGTCTTGCAATCACAAGAACCTTGCTAACGGTATACAGCCGTATTGAAACTTCTCGTCGTGAGAACTTCCCATCATCACAATTCCCTGTTGAGAGGGCTTCCTGTTATCAGAACTTCCTATCTTCAGTGCTTCTCATCATCGCAATTTCTTCGCGAAGAACTTGATAGGAATCATGTCATCACGTAGACTTAAATGTACCAGCCAGGTTAAGAATCGCTAAGTCTTTTCCTGTTAGCGACTGAATCTACTTTTTAACTGCTTACAATTGCATTATTGCAGTTCATAACTTCTTGTCCACGCATCAAAACTTTATGAAGCCTTACTCACAAATATTGACATTAGAGAGTGGAGCGCATGTACCGTAAGGGTACTATAGAAATCGCTACCATGGAAAGCGCTGCTACCCCGCTCGGCTCCGCGGACAACTACCAAAAGTTCGTGTATCATAATGTGAACCCCAACGTCTATCTTGGCTATTCAACTTTACACACACAGACACACATACACACGAAATCGCGCGCGCCATGTACTCTCCTCCTCGGGATATATACGGGCTCGCAGATCCTGCCGATGAACGAGTCAAGAAGCTGCCAGAGTTCCATAGCTGGGTAGCACAAGGTGGCCTTGTCGAATTTGCAAAGGCTCACAATGTAGAGCCTGATTTCGCAGACCGCCTGCATGACTTCAAGCCTGCAATTACTATAGCTTACTATGCTAAGCTCCGTACTATCCCTGGCCTGGAGACTGTAATGAGCTACAATACCTTTGCCAATATGAAGACTATGAGCTGGGAATCAGCACAGGAGACAATGGCACTTGCTGAGGGTTGGAATGAGGAGGAAGAAGAAGAAGAAGAGAAGAAAGAGGAGGAGAAGAAGGAAGAAGAGAAGAAGGAGGCGAAAGAAGCAGCTCCGAGCGTGAGTCAAAAGGCTCATCCTCAGTTATGACATCGTGAAGCTGTGGCTGACACTGGTTGATTTGCAGTATGTTGTCAACTCAGATCAGTACCATCACTCGTCGCCGTACTGTCCGAAGCTACTCTGGAGTTCTCCGGTGAAAAGAGGTCTCGCCTCGGCCAAGAGCAGCCCGATTAAGCGTTGAAGAATGAATTTGTAGCTAGTTTGAAATGAGTTCGAGAGTAACAATACACTGATACGTAATTCACACGTTGCAAGACGCTAGGAAACATATATAGGCATGCTTTTTGGGCATGCACAACGGAAAGTGTTGTAGAAACGCGTATCAAGATGCGCGTAGAGACAGGTGCAGATATGCGTTGTGAGATTTGTCGTCGTTGAATATAAGGTATCGAAGAGAGGTGTGTTCTGATTGCGGAAGATCTTTGCATCTAGAAATACGTGCAAAGATGCGAGAAGCAATGCATAGAAGGAATCCGTGCAACGATGTGTATGATTATAAAAGCGAGACTCATCAGCAGACTTACCGTCCCTGGTTGCAAGGCATCCTCATAGATTCATTACCAGCGGAATACTTCACAATTACTTATCCTCGTGCATTGCAGCATGAGGGTTTTAAGTATTGCGCAACAAGAGCATGTTTCCGATAACAGCTGCAACGAATATTGACAGTTGCACTTGTCATGGTGCGCCCTTCTCGAAATGCCTGTGTTCTCGGCGCCCTAAGTCGCGTGTTCGTAGACGAACAAGAAAGAACTATCTGTATACCGTTGCCTTTGTAGCCTAAAATTATTGCAAATTGGCAGGTGTAATCAAAGTGGTTCTGTAGTGTCATGCTTGTCGAGGTCCGACGAATGCACTGTAACGCACCATTCTAGTATTTCGCCAGAATGGCTTCAACTCTCGAGGTCGCAAACCAGAAGTACCTTGAAGTCTGGCAAAATTCGGTATATAGCAACGTAGTCATGATGCGATACATCGTGGGTCGAATCTTCCTCGAATCTTCCACGCCCTGGGACGACTTCTTCACGACTTGCGACCTGCGGGTCAGAACTGGAATCGACCAGGACCAGTGGTGGTCAAGAGCCACAGAACTGGCTTCGGCCAAGAAGCCAATCTTCTTTGGACCAGAAAAGGAAAAGCCGGTCTGGGATGAGATAATCCCAGACAACCTGTGGTTAGGCGGAAACGGCCTATGCACGTCGTTCACGATAGCAGTGAACGAGGAATCAGGCCTGAAGGCAAACTACACAAACTATGAAACGCATCGTGCAGCGCATAAAGTCAACAAGGAAACCAAGTCTACAACACTTATCGACTCATCTGCAGGATATGCCTTCGAGATGGAGGAAGATGAAGAGGTTGGTACCTGGCAAAACCAGGGGAAATCTGCCCCAATATGGGTAAACCGCAATGGTGATATCTTTTGGAAGAATGTTCGTATCCGATATCCAATTCAACTTACTTGAGACGAGTTTGTTAATCAAGAATGGTTATAGAGAACTCCCAAGGCCGTTGAGAATTCCAACGAAGCCATGAAGATTTGTTTGAACCAGCTTTACAAAACTGCTAGATATGGTCTTGTTCTGTACCGGTACTGTGTTGATTTGAGAACGTGGTCTCTAGTTCTGCTGATTAATGTTAAATCTACAGGAAGATCTCTTGTAACAAGGGAATTTTCGCCCAGAAAATTCAATTCTCGCCCTTGCACCGAGTTTTCAAGTTGGTTACAGAGCCAAAGGACGAAGAGTGCACCGTTCAGTACATCGAATCTGGCGCAGAGAAGAGCAACGATATGTCAGCATGCTACAAGTTGCTGCGCATGTTCAACACAGGGGATGAGAGCAATCCCGTCTTCCAAGAAATCTTGGAGATCTTCTATGCGGCGCGTATGCACTGGGGATACCCGTCTCTCTCAAAGATAGAGTTGATTCCCGATGCATCTGCTCTGCAGAGTTGGCCGAATCCTGTTTACTAATACAACGAACATTTGCAAAAGAAAGAGAGAATACGCTATAAAGACAAGTAAGAAATAGATAAGCAAAAACGCTCCAAAGACATAGAAAATATAGCTTGATTGCCTACTCCGTGATTACAGGTCGCACTGCCAAACCGCCATCAATTGCTACCTGCTCTTGAGTTGTACCCTTTAGATACACGAGCACCATTCTTCGGGCATGATCCTCGAAGTCCCCTATTCTCTCAGCAATGTACCGCTAGGTGACACCCAACATATACCACTTTATCGCTGTAATTAACCTAGGTATCTGTTGAACTCACTTCGACAGGATGGTGACTTTACGCGTTAACACATAGAAAGTCATTTCAATGTAAGCATGGAAAGCCACTGCTGTGGTCACCATCATGATGATTTCCTTGAAAATAGTGTTTGACAGCAGAAGACCGAGCAAATGAACTCACGCGCAACTCAATTCTTGCCAAGACAGCTCGAGTGGATGAACACCTACCACTCACAGAAGAACTCACTCCACGTTCGACCCCTGCCAGGTTGTGACGCCAGTTCACGACGTTTTGTATTGTCAACCGCTTGATAATATGCACTGTTGGTGTCGCGCAAGGCTTCTCCGCTCGTTCCCTCACCCTCCTCTCGACCGCCGACGATGCCCCATATCAACCGTATTGACACATGGATCGCCCATGAACGCGTTCATGTTGAAGGCACATACCAGCTCGTCGCGACGTGATGACCGTATTGCCGATGGGTTTACACGCCGCACGATGATACGAGGCCGTAGACGACACAAGAGGGGAGTAGGGTCGGCAACCTGTAGGCCTATACAATGGTGTTGGATAACGTCTCAACTGTTTAACCGTGATCGCGGTAGGTACTGCTGTCGTGCAGTTGGAGAAGAAGACGCTGACAGTGTTCAGAGAAGATGCTTCGATGTTATTGAAACCAAACATTTGGCTACACTGAACAGAATCTGCTGGCTGCTCGATTCAGCTGGCCTTGTGAAGATTTCCGCCCATGCTCTCGCTTCCTGCCTCGCCTGAGAACCCGCTCACTTCGTATGGGCGCGTTTCTCCCACCATACTCAATCCACAGAATTTCGAGATACAACTTCACGATGCCGTTTTCCCGCTCACGACAATCCGCCTGGTAGATAACACGAAGGTAGTCCACCAATTCTGCGATGTGATCATGGAGGTGACTAGTCACACGCTACCGAGACGCGGCGTGTGCTGGATTGGAAGTTGCGATGCGTGTTGTCAGCAACTCGATATCACCATATACCCCATCTCGCGGTCGATGACGAATATGGCGGAGACCCTTCTGATTAGAAGATTCCTATTCAAATCCTGGTACCGCACGGCAGTTGTTTTGGCGAGAATATCGATGCAAGTGTCATACAGTACAACCATGCTAAACATGTTCGCCATAAAGTTATCCAGCGGTGCGTCTCATGCCACAGTCGCATTCGCCAGGCCTATTTCATAGTGCCAACGGTCACAAGAGGGTTTGGTTTGGTTCGCTGCTGCAGGGAAGAAAACGAGGCGCTTCATGTACTCCTAGAGGCGCTTAGTGTTGGCTTCAAGTCGAGACGCCCTTGAACAGATTTTGTTGTCGAGAGTTGACGGAAATATCGATGGTGCGGATGGCAGCCTTCAGGTCAATGAGAAAGAAACTACGGCTGGCTTTCTGCGATTTCTCATCATGTCGCCGCGACTTAAGGTAGGACGCTCCGGGACGACGTAACAGATCATGACGCGGGGGAATGGAAGAAAGTCGTGAATAACTATCCTCGTTTCTTACTGCACGTGGTGAATTCCCCCTCCTGCTAGAATAAAACGCAACGGAAGGGACTAGAATAGATTGAGAACTCTTTTGCATTTCCAATTACTGGATGGAATGGAAAGTATAGGACTTGAGAGATGGGATGAGGCGCAGCTTAAGAGGGGTAAGATGGATATTCGGTCCAGTGGGATAGTGAGGCGCTAAGACTGTAGATAGTTTTGGCATAGATAGATTCAATCTGTACTCGTTCGAGCAGAACAGAGAGAAACGGGAACTTGGGACATTCCTAAACTTCTTTATAATCCGCCTTGTTCAATCGGCGCCTTCTTTATTATTCGTTTTATTGACTTCTCGGATTTCTTTCCTTTCCCTTTTTTACAAACGCTCTCTTTGATGATATTGAGTTCAAACTCCAGTACACACACAAGCTGTCGGGTTCACATAGCTAGTCTTCTTATCGCTGGCAACGCACTACCTCTTCGCGTCCAATTAAGCTGTTTGAATGTGTAGGGATAGATGCCATGGAGGTGTCGGGAATCATGAGGGGGGCGGGGACCATGAATGCATTATGGGAGACAACGGGCTGCACGCGGACATTGACTTGCGTGTAGGTCTAATTTCCTAGGGACTGGTTCAGCTGGGCAAGGAAGGTGCACTCGATGTTGCTGTCTAATGGGATGAAGTTGTCGAGGATGAGGGTAACGTTTAGCGATGCTAGGCGCTGGGAGACTTCGGCGCCGAGCTGGACGGAGCTGGAGAGTGAGGGGTTGATGCACTATAAGATGCAGGTATATATGGGGCTGTAGGTATGCAGAATTGACGTGGGCGTGCAGGTGTTGTTCCCGTTGTTGTTGGAATCTGAGTTTGAGGGTACGGGGGCCGACAGGATGGCGGGTTAAAGGAACATGGTAGAGACTGGCTATCAAGGGAGTCTGCGGAATACATGATGGTGGGACTCACAGAAATAGCTACCAACTCTGCGTTCGACACCCATTTCTCGATATTCATAGATCTACGTAATATTACCGCAAGCCCTCATTCACGTTATACCCCAATTGCCCATTGTGATCGCGCTCGCTGGGAAAAGGTTGAGATTAACTTTGATTTGCCGCTACATAGAGAAGAAAAGATTTTGTTAAGTCTGTACTTGTTAGGATCGGAACCATAACCAGTATATGATAAGATGGATAGTACCTGAGAACCACAAGCGTTTCGAGCCCGCACAAAGTTCAGCCTGAATAGAAGAAAGAAAGGCAGTGAAGTCAGCAAGCCTAGCCATGATGACACTTATGAGCACAGGCAGTACCCGTTGCAGTTACACCATTGCCACGACAGCTCATGACAGCTCATGACAGCTAATCTGAGTTAGGCTTAGCGCTTGCTTCGAACCCTGCTCCAGAGATCTCCATCTTTAACTCCTACTTCTAGAGGTAGACCAAAACAGTTTAAGTTTTGGCCGTCGCATCCCTTATTTTCCTCGCTTGCAAAATCCTGCAGGACAAATACAATGAGAAATCCTGCATTACAACTCAGACACTCAAATCAATGACGGCAACAACTGTTATACTTGTGGGGAAGCACGCATGTTTATTTCCTAATGTAGTCCTCAAGGTGATTGACTAATCGCCGCTGTTTTCGCAAATTCCATCAGCCGCATCAGCTACTGCTCATGCAATGGCTCCTGCATCTCATGTTATGCATGCTCGTGCTCGTGCTCGTGCAGGGTGCGCGAACCTAAAGTTCCGTGAACCCGACCAATCAGCGTCCATGATGCCCGCATTGCTTTCCCAGCTTCGCCCAGACTCCCCAGACTCGTCCATGGTTCCCCCCCAACTCAGCCGCACCATGAACACGGTTGTGCTTGGAGTCCACGCGCAACGTCTTTCCTATAGAAGCCAGAGCATGTGGTGCAGAGCGCCGAATCTGCTTTACGTCAACCCTGCTCGTCCTTGCAGCTCCCAAGCATCGATACATACCGCAACAAGCAACCACAACGTTGTCCTCGACCACATCCACCTTCTCGCGACAGACTGCGCAGTACGGTGCGCGCTTCACCCGGTTTTCCGCTGCGTCACGCGCGCGTCGTTCGGCTGCTTTCTGTTCCGCGAGCCAGATGGCTATAAGATCGATTCGGACGGTTCCTGCGGGCAGGAATTGGACAAAGCGTTCGGGATGATCTTGGTCGGCGGTGCGGCACACAACGAAATATTGGGCGCCGATGGTGGCGGTGCGGGGGTAAAATTCGATGATTTGTAGCTGGTCGCGACTGTGAATTGTGGTGTTGGATGCCATGTTTGCAGCGCAAGCGTGGAACGGTTGGTGGGTGCGAGGTGCGGGCTGCTAGGTGCTGCGCGTTACGAGGGCGAGCTGCGGAGCTGTTCAGTGAGGGTGAGTGTGAGAGCAGTTGTTCAATGCGTGACGCTGTTGAATTGGTAAGTTGAGTGCGGCCGCTGTGAACTGCTGGCGGTGGGCTGCGATCTGGGTTTTTGAGTGTCGGGTCGGCGGGTAAGGTTTGGCTTGTGGAGCTGTTGGTGAAGGTGAGGTCAATGAGTGCAGCGACGTCGGGTTGCAGGGCTGTGGGGTTGCGAACCGGTTTAGGCATGACGATGAGGTGAAAGCGACTCATCCTTGAGCGGTGAGGCGACGGAGCTTTTTGCTGAAGATGAGGTGAAGTCGACTTTTCCTGGTATGATGCAGTTACGACATGAGAGAGCATTATTCGGGTTTACGAACGTGATGTGAGCGACGGCGGTCACTGATGCAAGAACGCAGTCTTGCCGTCTCCAAAGGTGAGGTTGCTGCGGTGATATTTCTCCTCGCCTTCCTGGTATCTCCAGCAGTGTGGTGAATGCTGGTCAAGTAAGTATCGTGCGTGGAAGCTTGGTCATGAGCTTCGTGATCTTCGTCATACAGTTTATCAAGATACTTGGTTGGATGTCGCGGATCATGGAGCATCACGGATGGAACTGCAATAGTTGATTAAACCTGATACCTTGAAGTTTGAATTAAATGAATCTAAACCAACTTCCAGGCCACCAGAGGAGGTACAACAGCAAAGAGGTCGCTGACGGAAGACGATTACTGGGCCTGCCAAGGTTGGGATAGGCATTCTCAAGGACTTGGTGCATACATAAACGAGTGAGTATTCTCTGCATGCTTCTTGCTGCACTTTTACCCGCATAGCGATCGATCTGTCTCTCGTCAACCAATGCCAACAATGAAGAAGTGCTACAGACCCATATGTATTATGTACAACTAGAATATCAATCAGAATATACCCAACGATTGAGTAGTCGTGGCAAGATTATACATAAACTGCCGAACGAGTTGCGAAAGATCCGCTGGCGACGATGGAAGCAAGTTCCATTGCGATCAGGAAAGCTCTTGTGCTATATCAGTTCTGCTGTTGTGAAGTTTTGCATGATTATATTTAGAAGCAGGTATGATTTCAAGTACAGAATCAAAGAGCGAGAATAGAAGTGTGAATAAACATCCATTTGCCAACGACAATGTCTACTTACTGCTCTTGGTTATTTGCCTTGGAAATTCGACCAACATGAACTTCTAAACGAAGATCTGAGACCGATTGATCTGGCGAACTAACTAACTAGGAAGGCCAAAACGTATACACACGGAGTGCTTCTACTTTATTATACCAAGACGTAGTCAAAGCTGGTGCGAAAGGTACTCACGGTATTGCAGGACGGAGTCCTTCTTGGTTCCATAAGACGGAATAATTGATAATAGTGGCCACCAAGGAGCCTTCTCTAGTTTCCCATCCTATTTACCACCGTTGAAGGGAAATTTGGAACCGGCAGTGGTCTGCAGCGCCTCTTAAATCATCTACTCCTACCTAGTACTGAGCTCGTTCTCGCCCTGGAAGGATGGAAGTGCTTCGACTCAGCAACAAATTCAGCGATTGTAGCGGTCCATTGGCTAAACTACTTCATCCTGCACACATATACTTTGGTATTAACCGTCTCCCTCAGTAAAAGTATCAGCATGGTTAAGGTTATACTGTCTTAGAAACCTCGCCGCGTCGAGACTTCTCTACAACATAGTGACATGTTTCAGTTAGGTTTGCTTGCCTTACATCTCAACACATAAAATGTTCGGCAGCAGCGGTCTGGCATGCTTATATGTGATGTGACAAATTATTCTATTAAATTTCAGTTGCAGAGCCTCTCGCAGAACAAGGTAATGGACAGTCGTGTATACTCAGAGACGAGAATCTTCGGTCGACCACGCGCGAGCGTGAGATGTACAACGAGGACCGGTGCAGGATCTCTCCAGGAAGAGTTTCCCATCCAAACAAGCTGCGGAGAAGATGAACGTTATCACGAGCTATGGGTTGCCCAGCTTGGGTTCTGAAGTGACAAGTGTTGTGTATTCTTGTGAGAACGTCAAACAATCACATCGGCTGTGAACAACCGACAGTGCAACCTTGCCAACCCTAGATTGCAAGCCTTGGTCCTTTGTTCTTTGCACTGGATGTTTACGTGTGAGCGTGTTGGATGTTCTCACCAGCGATCCAATTGTGGAGGGTTCCTCGGGAGCCGCTGAGGCTCGAAAATAGCAGCCTGGCGCGACTTATAAGATTATTGATGTGGGCAAATAACTACGGTTTACAAAGGGTAGCATGCTATGCAATGATATGTGTGATAGTCAACTGATTATGCTAGGCATTTGGTTGGTTTAGGAGGAGGCGCTGCGAAGTACGCAAGGAAATCACTCCGGTAGTTCGGTAAGCGGACAAGGGTTTGGACAGAAGAACGACTCAAATTCAAAGATGCATACCGTTTTGTTGACGACGTCTCCCTCATCTATGTTTCCATACATGGCGGCACCCAGAACATCATGCTTAAGCATAACCGAAATGCGCTATCAATAGCGCGATGCGGCCCGCTTGGCGCAACGGGAAATCCCCATCCGCCACACCTTGCTCGTCTTCCTCACACCCGCCACCTGCTCTGCTGCTCTTATCCGGCAACGACTCCATCCCAACATCTCAGCCTCTCCAGCCGTTCCATCATCAGAATACTCACAACCACGTGTATTGTTATCTGATTGCTCACTGAGCAACACCGCATCCGGCGTGCAGCGTTATGTTATTCTCTTTGTCCATCATGTCGCAGGGGCCACGCCCGTCTGAAGTGTGCAGCATACAGGTGCCGGCGACGACTTGGTCTTTGTTTGCTTGCTACATGTTTGTGTGTTGATAACTATAACTACCTCCAGGCGACATGGCTTTCCCCAGTCTCGTCCCCATCTGCCTCGTCCCTTCTCAGTGTGTTACTCTGCGCCCTGGGATGCTATGGACTCCCTCCGGCACACGCGTCGCTCCCGTCGCTATGGGTCTGCGCCGCCTGACCTCCCCCCACGCTCTGGCCGTCGACGCGATGCACCGCTGCCAGCCCTCGTGCCGCCTCCACCGCCTGCGATAGAAGAAGTCGGGGTCATCCCGCCAGACGAGCCCGTGACGCTGGGCAATGTTGTCACCGCGGTGGCGGGCATGTTGGCTGAGCATGTCTGGTACGGCATCCGCGACACGCACGACGATATCGTCGACTGGACGCGACACGCCGCGCTCGACTCGCTCGACTCGATGAGACATGCGCTTGAACGAAGCCGACAGCGGCTCTTTCACCTGCTGGGCAACGCGGCTATCTGGGTTGAGCGTGACGGAGTGCATACACTGCTGGCTGTTGCTGCGTGGGTCTGGCGCCAAATACTCGACACGCTGACCGTGACGGCATCTTGGCTGCGCTTCTTCGCCCACAGCATGGCCATGCTCATTGGCTTTGCGGCTATCGTTGGATATGGCTGTTCACAATACCTCCACTTCCAATCCTATACGCCACGCTTCTACGGTACCTACTCCCTCGCCCGCCCTGACTATCAGAACCCGTGACTGTGCTGACTGCTCCAGACGACTTTGCGCCAGCCTGCCCGCCCACATTCCTGTACTATCCACAATACGCCGCCGCCCTCAACGTCCCCATCCTCTCGCCATCCCTCGACAGCCTCACCGTTAATGGCCGCAACGTCAACTCGGCATACAAGAAGCAGCTCGTCTGCTACGGACCGCGAAAATGGAGGCGTCACACACAGCTCGACGAGGCAAACACCACAGACATCCACACGCTGCTGCTCGACAGCCACGGGAAGCTGCAGCTTGGCAAATCATACCCCAAGTTTATCATGGACAACGTCAAGGTCGACCTTGTCCCGCTGCACACCAGTCCCATCTGGAAAGCCACTGTCCAGACGAAGCATACGCCCAACGCGAGAAGGAGTTTCCAGGACTGCAACGTGTGTAGCCTGCAGGAGGCATTGCACAAGGCGGCATGGCATTTGTTCGTCCCCGCCAACTTCTGGCCGCGTCTCCCGTCCACGCTCGATGAGGTCGAGGCTACAGACTGGTGCCCGTGCACCATCAGTGCGGCTCTGGCGCCCTTTACCTTCATCTTTGACTTCTCCACCCGGACCTGGCGCGATGACCGTCTCCCGCCGCTAGGGATGCACGCCATCTGGTTCGACGATGCAGCATGGGATGTCCCACCTCCAACATCACTCTCGCCATCTAACATGCTCTCCAACTTCCTCTACGTACGCTTCCTCGCCCGACTCCGCGCTCACGGCAAGGCAGGATACAGATCTCCGTACCCAGCCAGAAAAGCCATGGCCTGCGCTGATCAACGTAACGAGGTTCTTTTGGGTCGCATGACTTTGTCCGACTTTTTCCATGTCGATGGCTGCATGGACTTAGAAGAGAGGGATTATCTGAGGGTGCAGCGCTGGAAGGTGTTGAGAGGGGTGGACAAGGTGTGGCTCGACTTGTTCGACTTGAAGGTTGACTCGTTGGATTTGACATAATGATATGGGTGAGTTGAGATGAGTATGAGTTTGCGGAGCTTGGGATGAATCTTGGGATTATGATTTGAAATGAATATGGGCATGGGCACGGGTATGGGCATGGGCAAGGATATGGGCATGGGCATGGGCATGGGGAGTTTGGGTACAACATTGCAACATATAGATGGGATTATCGATGACTAGCATAGATTTTGAAATACGATTTCTTTTGTTCCTCTTTCCATCTTTACTTACCCATACTGCTGTCTCCAAAGTACTTGCATTGATACAATGCCACGCTCCTTAACTGTTAGTGCCGCACGACAACACGTTCGCCTTCTATCTTCTCACTGAGCATATTCTCACACATTGACCAACCAGTATTTGTACACACACGCCCGAGCATGAACTCAGCTCCTTCTCGTCTCCGTCACAAACTCAAACCTCGCTTTGCATCAATATGTATTCGTCTTCTTATGGATATACACGCCTACAAAACGTCCGGATGACTCGTGCCCAGAACTTCACTTGACTAGGCTTGTTTCTTTTTACCAAATCATTGAAGCTCCATCTCCACATACATTGTATCCTGTCCCAGAACGACCCATTCTTCATGTCATCATGCTGAAATTCGTCTTCACAGATTGGACAAAGCTGAGCAACTAAGCGCCATACAAAAAATGATGTCCTAATTCAGCAAGATGTGTAGCTCGTCACATTGAGTTGCTACCATTTCATCGCAATTATCAGCAGTAAAAAATGAAAATCAGCTTCACGCGCTCTACACAATTAATTTAATAACGTTGTGTCCCCTTTCATGCCTCGTCAACACATCTACCACCAAACAAAATGGAAAAGGAAACGGAAACCCCACACCCCAATCTATAATACTCCATACATCCCACACACACAGCATCCCCTCCCCTCACGCTCCCTCCCCCCCCTCCCGCGGCCACGTCAACCCCGGCCTAATCCTTCCCTCCCCATCTCTCATAACCGGCCCGCCTAACATGACCCAAAGCGTGTGTAGCGGAGCGTTTGACAGGGTCACTGCTCCATCCGAAGAAGTAGGTAGTGAGCTTTGTACTGCTGTGTCTGGATGTTCGGCGGCGGCGGCGGCGGCGGCGGCGGCGATGATGTCGTGTTGGTGTTGGGCCGCCACGTCCGGCGTTTCTCCACGCTCCATCTCCTGCTGCCGACGCTGACGGCGGTTCCCGCGCTTGTCGTGGCGGGCGGTATGTGCATCATCCGTTGCATCGTGGCGGTTCCGAAGCGGACTGCGGACTCGGTACCGAATCGGTGTATCGTCATCGTCGCGCTTGGGGGATAATGATCGCAGGGACGTCTTTCCATCTAGACTCTTCGCGCGGGTTCGCGTGTGTTCTTTCCCGCGGGCTGATGGCGTAACGCTTATCTCGTCATTCCCGTCCTTCTCTTCCTCAGCATCTTCCTCGGCATCTTCCTCAGCATCTTCCTCGGCATCTTCCTCAGCATCTTCCTCAGCATCTTCCAATGTATCGCTGTCTGTAGCGGCTGTATCTATGTCTGTGTCTGTGTCCATGTCCGTGTCCTGCTGTATAGCCTCCGCTTGATACTCACCGCCTCCTTCCATGGCGTGCCTCGCTTGGTTTCGTTGTCGGCTCGTGGTCAGGCCGCAGTCGTTCAGCATGACGTGCGCGTAGTAGGGGTTTCGCTGCTTGTACTTTCTTGAACAGGCTGGGCAGGAGTAGCGGAAGGGGCTTTCGGGGAGGACGGGGTCGGGCATGGAGGTTGTGGAGGCGTGAGTGAGAGGATGGAAAAATTGGTGATAATGGTGGTGGTGATGGTTTTGAGGAAAGTTTGTGAGTGACAATGGTTGAAAGTCGAGGGGGAGAGGGCGACGGTATGAGGTGTATATCGTGTGTTCGGAGTGGACGATGCAGTCAGTGAGCTGTTGTGCGACATGAGATACACGATGAGACTGTTTCAGATGTGGATGGAACGCGGTGTTTCTACATCTCCGCCCATTGTGTGTGAAGGGTTGGACGGGGCTGTGTTTGTCTTAGGCGTCGGCAAGACAGTTGGGTGAAGTATTTTGTGTGAAGAAGATGCGTGTGAGTCGTGACCGTAGAAGGTTCTAGAAGCAAAAAGCTACTTCTATAATCGCTCGAGTGTTCATGCTATAGATATCAGTAAGAAAAGAGTACATCAAGTGAGCAGGTATTTCGATCATGGGCAACATCGAGTGTGCAGCACACTCCAAACCAAACAATACTGACTGATCAGATGGATTCGATCGATGCTAGATAAACCAAACTTCCCAAACGCCGTCTATAGACTATGAAAAGAACCAGGAAAAACGGCCAAGTTCCATGAATTGCCACATGCCCATTCCGCTCACCCTCCATCCATCACTCCATCCACTCACTCATCGACATCCTTGCTTGACCTACCCTACCACTCACTCACTCATCAGCATCCTTCTTCGACTCACCCCCACTAACCCACCCTTCAGCATCCATCCCCTCAAACGCCATGTCCACGACCTTGCTCTGCGCAAAATCACTCCCAAACACACTAACCAGCCTCCTCAACGGCCCACGCTCCAACCCACTGCCACCCCCCACCGCCTCATCAGCATAGAACTTCTGGTCCAGCCACTCCCACGTCCCCTTGAAGACGCGGAACGACGCACACTCACGGCCCTCGAGCTGCACGCCTGCGGCCCAGGCGACGAACCACCAGCGGTCGAAGAGGCGGCGCAGCGAGTGCAGGATGCTGGAGATTTTGTCGTGCTGCTTGGTCTGCAGCCGGGCCATGCTGGTTATGGCTGCGCGGGAGCGGTCGTGGGAGAGGTCGCGGAGGGTTGACGGTGCCGATGAGTTCATGTCCCTGGTGTTGTGGTATTCGGCTCGGTGGAAGACGTTTGTGTGCGTGGCCATGTCGAGGCGGATGAGGTTCTGGAGGTGGGTGGCGGACTGGTGGGTGGCGATGACGGCGTCGCTTGCGCGGAGGGATTCACGCGTCGTTTCGGTCCAGAGCTTGCAGCTCGCGTTCTGGGCTTGTTCGTCGGGCGAGGGCGAGATCCAGAAGAGGAGCCGAGAGCGGATGTGGGCCATGTTGAGGGTGTGGGTGATGCTGGGCTTGAGGAGCGCGAGGCGGTGGAAGAAGCGTTGGCCGCCGGTTCGGACGGGTTGGAGGAAATGGTTCTCGCGGGAGTCGCAGTACGTATCCAGCATGTCGTTGATGGCTAGCTTGCGGTCTCGTAGCTCGTCGAGAGCACCGGGCGTGGGTGTTAGGATCTCGATGGGAGGGATTGCCCGCGGATTGGGAACGGTCCAGTTTGTGTTTTTGAGTATTTCCAACTGCTCATTGTTTATAGTCCAGATCATACACAGCTCGGTCTCGACGAGTTGCATGTCAGCGAGCACAATGTTAGCCTGTTCGATGGTAGGAAAAGAGCCGTAGTCCTTTATCATGGCATGGTCCCTCGGCCACCATCGCAACTTCATATCGGCACAGAGGGATGATGAGAGCAGGATAAACGTGAGAAGGGAGGCTGTCAAGACGACAGTAATTGGAGCAACAAACCAGAAGAAGACATCCCAACGCGTTATGCCATGAAACAAGCCGATATTGATCTTGTAGTTGTGATAGAACTTCTGGTAGATTGTCTGGTGAACGACCGGGGCTCTGACGCTGTCTTTAGTGTGTAGCCCGTGGCTGGGCCGACATGGATTAGCATGGGGTCATGGTTTGGGAGGGGAGAGCTTACCCGCGGTCTCTGGGTCTGTTGGTCGCCATGTCAGTGGGCGAGATGAGGGCAGCAGCGAGTCGTGTGGCGTGAAGTTGAAGTTGAAGTCGGAGGATGTTGTGATGATACTCTTGGAGAGAGTGGGCGTGCTGAAATAGCCATGGAAGCAAATACAAACACCCACTCTGCATGACCGAGACGCTCGCCGAACCGTCTCGAAGAGGCGAGTGAAGATGGGTGCACCGAGCCAAGCGATACGCCGTGCAACAGTCGAGCGAAATAGAGAGCAACACTGAACTTTCAAGGAGCGGCGAGGGTTTTCGAGAGGTTTTCCTCGTTGGATGGCACATATGGCGATGAAGATGTTCCTGTTTGAGTTGAGCTGTTCACGGTCATCACACACGCGTCAAGGGGCACATGATTGACAGAATGTGTTTGATGGCTAGCTGTCAGGATCGGAACCTAGCACTGCTGTGGAGAGGGAGATCTCATCCACCCATCGAGTTTCCACCCATCAATCCATGTCGGAAGTCTGCTCAAGGGGCGCCTTCATCTTTGTACCACGAGCTGGCAAGACCCGGCGTGGAGCGCTCTTGATGGTGGTGGACTTGGTCGGAGCATGCTTGGTTGTGTCGGGGGCAGCAGAGGGAGGCACGCCGGAGATCAGAGTGGGTCCAGTGGGAGCTGGAGGACCGTTCCTCACCATGCCTTGCATGCCAAACGCGGCAGCCAAGTTCCTGCCCTTGCCATCCTTCTTCGGCTGCACATGTTCCGTGTCCGACGATGCCGGCGGTGCATCGTCAGGAACCACAGCCTTGTCCTTGTGCGTGTCGCCGTCCATGCTGAGCAGCTTCTTCTCCATGACGTGGTGTTCCCGGCGCGCCTTGCCCACCTCGGTGTTGGTCAAGTTGGCCTGCTGAGCCAGGGCTTCAATGTCGTCGGCATTGCCAAGCGCGACGTTGGCGAGGGTGGAGAGGACCTCATCCAAGTCGGCGGCAACGAGGCTGTTGAAGTCGATAGTCTGATGGATGTGCAGCTGGCAGCGGTTGAGCAGGGCTGCGTCGCCGTCGGCGGCGGGGTATTTGGCGGGGTTGCGGCACTGGAGGTTGCGTTGGGTGATGCCACGGCAACGAGGGGCAGGCAGTGGAGGCGCCATGTCCAAGACGGTGGTAGGGAAGGCGACAGAGGAAGGAGCGAGTATGGAAGGCAATGAAGCAGGTAGGAAAGGCAACAGAGCGGACGTGGCAGATGGGATGGCGAAGGCGTCGAAGTAAAGTCGGTGAGAAGGTCATGTTTGTGCCTTAATTTACACTGCAAGGCCATCAGCATGCTCTTGTCGCAGCGCTCGGGTGGGTGCGTATTGTGAGTGCGTACTGTGTGTGCTACCTTGCTCAGACATGCATGCAGCCCGGAAGGTACCACCTTATCCGCAGGCGGTGCATGACCTTGTCAACGGCATAATGACAGGTGCCTTGGCCATGATTATTTGTTAGAAGATGGATAGGTCAGCTTGTGTTGAACGAGGGATATGTCGGCGTGTGTGGAGAAGAATGCGTCGCCGTGTTGATCAAGTCGCGCGTCAAGCTGCGCCAGCCTTTAACGCGCTAAAACGCCTAAATGCTTGGCATCCCCCTATCCCCACTCACGCCACCTTCACACCCACATGGCCACACGCATTCATTGCCACATGGCTATTCGCGACCGCTGTGATCTGAGCTTACCTATAGTGAGGTCATGATTTGAAGTGCTTGGATTTGAAACAACAGCTGAACTTGCTTGTAAGCACGCGATAAAAACTCGATTCACTACCACTATCTATTCCAACTCCATTGCCTCATCGCTCTATGTTTCTAATACATTCAGCCAATTCATGAACAAATGGTCGCCCCCAATCTGAACATCAATATCCTCTCTACCATCCCACACGTTTGAACCATGGCTGACTGCTCAGCCGATCCAGGTCCACCCATATCAAGTCTCTCCAATGAGCATGAGGACTCATCTCAGTGTCAATCCTGTCGTACCGTCAGCTCTTCATCTACATACCACTTCATCAGACTCACCAATCTACATGTCAACCGCTCCCATCGGCTCTTCGTCCTCAATCGTCTCACCGTCCTCAATCGTCTCACCGTCCTC